CGCTGCCTGAACCTGGTGGGCTACTCTCCGCCAGAGCTGCTCGGAAAGCAGTGCTTCGACTTCATCCACCCCGAGGAGCTGACCAACGTCAAGGAAAACTTCGAACAGGGTCAGTTGCGGTACTCAAAGGGCTCCTTCTTATAGTGCTCTACTCTGATGCTTCGAAACGTAAACAAACTCTATTGGGCGCTTTGTTATGCTAGTTGGATTCGCTATCCATGCTTTTGCTTCTGTAGGCTCAAGCAGCTGTAGTGTAGTTTAACTCTACTTGCTCAAAGCTGCCAGGCTAGTTGATAGTCTGTCATCAGTTTGTTAGCTGCCAGGGTCACTGCTTTTCTCAATCGCCGGCCAGGCGCCGCTCGTATGCCAGATACGGCCTGCTGTAGTCGGTAGTACGCCCTCTGTATGCCGTAGCTGACCCCGCTCCGCCCGTCTGCAGTGATCAAGCTGAAGGGTCAGGTGATGAGCATCATGTACCGGTTCCGCTCCAAGAGCCGCGAGTGGGTATGGCTGCGCACCTCGGCTTTCGCCTTCCTCAACCCGTACACGGACGACATCGAGTACATCGTGTGCACCAACTCGGCCGTGAAGGCGGTGGGCAGCGGGGGAGGCGGCGGCGGCACTCCGGCCGCCTCGGCCGAGCCCGAGCACACGGCCGACCCGTACAGCCAGCCGCCCGGCCTCGACTACTCGATGCAGCGCTACCAGCACATGGCGCACGTGCAGCAGGCGCAGCGGCCCAGCAGCACGCACACCGCCTACAGCTACGACGCCACGCAGAGCCCGCTGGGCTACTCGCCGGTACCGGCGGCGGCCGGCGGCCGGCAGCTGCAGCAGCAGTACAGCCAGATGTCGCCGGCGCGCTCCCCGGGCGGTGCCGCCAGCTACGTACCACCGCCGCGGCCGCCGCTCACCCCCGGCCAGTACCCGGCGTCCAGCGGCGCGGCCGGTGGCGGCCTCTGGTACCCCACCGAGGCGGCCGGGCCGGCGGCCGGCGGCGGCGGCGGCGCCGGCAGCCCGGCCGTGTCCGCAGCCGGAGCGGCAGCGGCCGCCGCCGCCGCAGCCGCAGCCGGCCAGCCGCAGCAGGAGATCTCCGACATGCTGCAGATGCTCGACCAGCCGGCCGCCGGCTTCGAGGACCTCAACATGTTCAACTCGACGTTCGAGTGAGCGTCGCCGTCTCGAAGGGGCCGCCGTCTCTGAGCGCACACCAATGGACACAGTCGCGGCGGGCGCCGCCGGCCGCCGGGACCCGGCGCCGCCGAGCAGCCGGGTCACACAAATATCTCATGCATTTCATGCTACTTAACTGATAGACGTCTGCCACGTGAAGCGTTTTAGGTACTAACAAGTGTACGTGCGTGTGTGTGCGTGTGTTTTGTATGATGCATTGTATTGTGTGGCGATGGCACCCAGGCCTGCCCATGCCCGTATGTCACAAAGTTGTGCGCGCGACCGTTAGACAATTTGTACGGGCGCTGCAGGACCGAATATCGCGCAGCTAATGTCACCTTTGGTCAGCGTTCCAAGCCGGTGCGTATTTGATATACTGCACATTTTCGTACGGATCATTGTACACGTACGGATGATTGTACAGCCCGTGCGATTTGGCAGCCAATGGTAACGGTGGACTTGAATGAATCTCAGCAGTGAACAAACGTGCGCTGTAGCTGTTAGACGAGCACTATGTAAGCTTAAGGCGGTTCACAACTACAGCTTAATTATTCTTCGTCACGGTCTTTTTGGGCCTCTTATATTCTGTGTTGAAATTCCGCAACCAAGTTGCCCTTAGTGCATCATATGTTTTTGTTATGTCTGCTCTGAATATTTATCTATTTTGCGACTATTTTACTGCATTCTCCCTTTACGACATAATAGTTGGCATGTCACCCGTGGTGAGGTTTTTACGGTCGTTTCGACCGTGGCGTGTGCCTGCGATGCAGGCGGTCTCCTCTTTGTACTGTATTCCATCCAGCCATTTACCTATCTCCTGACTGCTAATAGAACAACGACATGCCGAACAAATGCGGTGAAATGCTGAATATATGCACGATCTGTGTCCGGTGTTTCCTTGTGCTGTGCACGCGGCCTAATGGTCAGCCTCTCGAGGTATTATATGCACTCAGAATTCGCCTTTACTGGCCCCAACTTTACTTCCTAAGCGAACACGAAAGGCTACGACATGCATATTTCATGATTGGTAGCTGAATGTCGTGATGTCGGCAATACACAGACCGCCGCCAGTCGGTGGGCATGGTCTGATGCGCAAGGAAAAGACAAAGTATTTTCAGACAGAAGAAAATACACTCACTGAATGGCTGTTTATATGATCATGATCATGAATGATCATGATCATGAATTTACATGAATGTAAAGTAAAGAGCTCGTTTGCATCTGCAAATGCTGACAATTTATGGTTGTCAGCCATGAGTAAGCGAGTTATTTACAAACTTTTCCCTGATTCTGCTTGCGTTTGGAATAGATGAGATTTTATCTTCAGATAGCACGTTTCCTGTGAAGACACGTTTCCTGTGTAGGTATAGCGTGCTTTCTCGTTGTACACACATTTTCACTTGCCATCAGGCTATCGGTGGGACCCGTGGAATGGAACAAACTAGCCATTTGTTTAAGCGGTTTCTCCAGATGGTGCGCCATTAGATCTGCCCTCATAGGTTCAGCCTGGCGAGCGCGAGCGCGACCCCGACCCAGAAAGCCGAGAGGTATGAAAGATCAGGGAAGGGGATTGACAAGTCCAGTCGATTTGGAAGCCGGCTTTAAACCATTAAATTAAACCATTAGATTAAACCATGAACAGGAACTGCCACAAAAGTCATAGACCACAGATGCTTCGTGTGCACTGTGCTAAGTGCGTTAGCTGGGGACCTCGACGAAGTCGCCCACTCTCCCCTTCGCCGCCCAGAGCCACCTGTTGGCTATGACCACCACTTCAGCTTGCTAGATGGCAGCCGCGTCGCCGGTCCGACTCTCGTGGCTCGAGGTTTGGCCGCAGCAGGCGAGCGCACTGCAGTCGACACCAAGGGTCGACACCAGTGAACACTGCAGTACTGCAGTGACATCTTGCCATTCCCAGTTTCCAGCAGTGCATCATACTGACGTTCATAAAAGAAGCAGTATGCGGCGACATCGACACGATGGCATGTGGGTACATTGTAGGTACCTACACTTAAAAAGTTAAAAGGTATAGTCACTGAACAGTGGTATAGTACAAGTTTTCGTAAGACCAATTCTGATTATGGACTATGCTCAGGACATGGGGTATTTTCCTTTCCTAGGAAGTGGGCCTTGCACTCCACGACTTATGCCGATGTTTTTTTTTTTCTCATGAATCTTTGCCCTGGCATTGCCTCGGTGCCTTAGAAACATATTTGTTTCACCATATGCATATATTTCCTAAGAATCTGAGAAATCAGATGACTATGGACTGTAATACATTCGCCATCCTCTGAAGAGCCACAACTGGAACGTATCCGAAAATTGCAACGCTTCCCTCTGTTATGTGAACGGTTCCTTTTTTAAAAAGATTGGAGGCGGTGGAGCCAATATCGTCTCTGGCCGTTTGCGGCTCTCCCCTTGGTGATAATGGGATGCTGAATCGCCACAGACTGTGATCGTGTTATCGCCGACATGCCCTCACGTTCAAAGATATGGGACACATTGTAATCGACGTGTTTCCCCTGTAGCCATCGAATAAGACGGCAGAGATATTTCCAATGATCGGGTTTCAGCTAATGCCGAGAAAATGCTGCTCAAATGCAAAACGGATCTGTTGTTCAGAACTCGTTTTTATATTCCAATGGCTTGGAGGATTATCGAGTAGTTTCCGAAACAGTTGCCTAATTTCAGAATTGCATCTGGTCCAATGCATAAAGGGTTTTCGACCGACTCGACTGTTGCAATCAATCTAAATGATTATCCTGTATCCTATCCATTTCAGCATCACCAACACCGCCCTTCACCTGGGCGACTCCTGAGCGGAACGGCAAGCCCAGCTGCTCCCAGAGCCGTGAACGTCACTCGTTGTCCGGCTGAGGATCACCCGCTAACTGGCTGAAGGCACTGAGCGGCTGAGCCAGTGTCGCGGCACGCCACTACCTAGCCTCTCACATCTCCAGTCGCTCCCAGACCCGTCCGGTGAGTACCTTCTTGCTGCTTGTGTGCAGCACGCATCCTGGGCCTGACCGGGAGTGGGCTTGCTTCAAAGTACCAACCACACATTGCTCGCTGTTTATGCATTATTTCATGGTATGTCCTGAAAATAGGCTTGTTGGTGCCTCTGGCCTCATTCTTTTACACCATAACCGCAATGCTATTTTCTTTGCTCATTAGCAGTTCTTCGTAATTTACAATCAGCGAAAAGTTAACCTTTTATATCATTCAGTTAAAATATATTCATGCATTTATGTTACTCATCTTTCCAAACTAAATTACTACATAGTGTAAATCATATGGTTGAACATTTTACATAGTACTTCCCGTTCCATAAATATGAAGATCTTGAATGTGCATCTAAACATTATGTCCAAATTCATTCGAGCGTACAGCGTTAAATAACCTCAAAGCACCGACACTTGCGCTGCATATTGTGGCCGCGGTCGGAGTCCTGGAGGATTAGTGGGGCTTGTTTCGGTCGGCGGTGGTCGCCGGCGATGGCCGCACGGGTGCCCGACCGGCGGAGGTTCGCCTCAATATCGCCAATATCGGCTCAGATTGAGCCATCGGCGCCAACCGGTACGGCGGCCAACTTTGAAAAACAGCCGGTCCGCTGCCCGGCGCGGCACAGCTGGTGGGTACGCACCGGACCACCTGATGGCAAACCGGGGCAGATGGAGGGACATGGACGGGCGCCCGGGCTTCGGCAGGCGGACAATTAGTCCTGTTGCTTTTAGTTCTGTGAGGGATAGTTCAGTCCATTACGTAGTTATCGCATTGCTCTTTGATATAATTTTAAACTCTCGGCACAAGCCACTCAAACACTTGCATCACATTAATTCATTGTATTGAAGCTGTGAAAGCTTACAACAGGACAAACACAGCGGCATGCATGTGATAATCAGTAACGTATGGTAAACTTTTATTGGTCACATCTAACCTGGCCCTCTCTTCCGCAACAATTTGGTTACATATGCCCGCGAGTCTCCGTAGTCACGCTACGGTATGAGATGGTCTTATTCCCCAAACTCTTATACAATTGATGCCGAGCAACGGCTCAAGGATTCCGTTCTGCCACACCATCCGGAGTTCATGGTTCCAGGAACCCAACCGGCCAACATCACACGAACAAGCATGGATAACAATGTACATTAACGACACCGTGCGTAGATATTTTCAGATAAGGATGGTCTGTGGCATGCTCCCTTTCTACGAAGAGCGATTGAAGTCCCGCTCGTGTCATCCTATAGGGATTTGCTGCATGATGGAAGTTAAAGTTCTCTCCGAAGTGCGCACACACCTGCACACCCTCATACGTATGGCACGATCATTCGCTCGTGAGGAAGCACTCACGCACATTTCATGTGTACGATTCGCGACGCCAAGCGAGGACAGGTCACCTATCGCTATCCAAAGGGAAAGTCAAGGCTCAGCAATTAGAGGGCAGATTGAGGATATTTAAAACTGGTGACTAGTTGGTTTGTAATTCGTATAGGAATAAACGTCGTTGTTAAACAAGACGGTTTTGGATCTTGAAGAGCGGGTTGCTTCTGAAGCAAAACTCGGACCGGGTACGGGGTATCTGTCTTTTGTGAATGGTGGTGACCGCCGCGGACATGTAACCGTTATGGAGCGGCTGGTCCACCCGACCTGACCCGACCCGACCTAACCCGACCTAGCGTGATCTGCCTCACACCGCGACAGTCGGTGAGGCAGGCCCGGCACTTGTCCGTCGACCGCCAACCTATGACTAAGGTCCGTCAGCAAACCTGTTCATGGCGAGTCCGGCTGTCCCATGCTCGGCTCAACGTCCTGACTGCTGTGTCGGCTGAACTTGTCTATTGACCAACAGTGACCCCTGATCGAGCTTAATGCAATATTAAGCATTGACGATCATTATCGCGCTCCATCAGTTCCATGTCGTTTCTCTCAGCATATTCTCAACGCACACCATAGTTCTAGTTACCGTCTTCTCCGTTTTTACCAGTGAGCACACCATCCTACCGTTCTGCCTGGGTCTACCGACTACTGGTGACTAGCCTCTGTCCTGTGTTCAACGACAGTCCAACGAGTCAGCTGCATCGCCACTCATTCGGTCTTCGGCTCTGCTGTATCACATGTATAACATCCCGTCCCCAGCACGATACCCGTGTGTTCACTGTCGCTCCTCACTGGCCTTCGTGAGGTCACACTCTGACCTCTGACCCTGCCGAGGTCGCCGTGCCCCCATGACGAACCCTCACCAGTGCCGGCGGTCGGGGACGCTCGGTCTCAGCAGACTGGAGGACAGGAGTGCTGTGACCATCAGCAGCAGCCAGGGTCCGGCGGCAGCCGCTCCGGAGCTGACCGGCTCCGCGCCGGCTCCAGGCTCGCTCCCTGTCTCCCGGCTGGGCTGACGCTGCCGGCCGCCGGCCGTCCGACGCCGACCTCCCTCCTCTCCGGCCGAGAACGGCGGGTCTCTCCGCGCTCCGCGGCTCTGGTCCCGCTCCAGGCCGGTCCGCGGCGGCGCCTGCTCCTCGCCGGGCGTCTGGTAGGTGAGCTCTGTGTCCACCTCAGCCGCCGGTGTACCCGGCTCCCTCGGCCGGATCTCTGCTGGTGGCAAACGGGCGGCCGGTGAAGTCAGCGGTAGCAACAGAGCTGCCAGAGGCGAAGCGGCAAACGGCTGGAGGTTGGCGTGACAGTTCATTGGCTCAAGATTTGGGTGTTCAAGATTCTCGCAGTCTCTTGAATCCATTTTGTGTATGCAATTTGGTATTTGGAATTATTAACAAGATCCAGAAAAGTAAAACCTAAGAAAACGATTTATTTCCCCTACGGCTATGATGCTCGCTCATCATGTACCAGGTACCTGTATGGTGGTCATTGCTGTGGGTCGCCCTACTAACCGTACCCCATGCTGTGTACTGCTGTATGGTGTACGATAGCTATTACTCCGTCGTGGTACTCACCATACACCTGTATGGTGCTCTGCACCTCGCCGATGGAGTTTTTGGCCGTGCACACGTAGTCGCCGGCGTCGGACAGGTCGAACGTGTGGATGGTGAGCGTCATCCACAGCGAGTACTCGGTGTCGCGCTCCTCAGTGATGTTCAGACGGTCGTTGGCGATCAGAATCGGACCTGGGGCGACGTCATGGTGGTGAGAAAACTGATCAGAGGATGGGTGTACAGTGAATGTGCTCATAGCATGTCGGCAAATCTACTCAACTGTGTGGGCTTGCGATATAGCCCAGATTAATCGGTAGAACCTAAATGCAGATCGTAACCAAATTTGACTATAGCTTTTAAGTCCACAAACATACATTATGTGTGTATCGGGCCCTATTGATAAGCAATACGAATAACACACAAGCAGCCTGGACTAAAAAAGCATGACGGCACACCACACGAAATAAGCAGCAGCCGCCCATCGGACGGACTGGCCGTCTCCGGGCCGTTCGCAGCGCTTTCACCTCCCGGTCGCTTCTTTCTAACCTCCCAGTCACACCTCTCTCACCTCCTGGACGCACGCTCTCACCTCCAGGCTCTTTGTTCCAGTAGTTGATGGACTTGGGCAGTGCCTCCACGTGACAGCGCAGGGTGACATCAGTCCACAGGGGCACGCCGATCAGCTGGGTGGGCACCTGCACCACCGGGTGGACTGAGAACACAAAAGAGCCGGTCATAATGGGCACAATGGGCGGCAATCGGGAGCAATTGCAGCATTGGGCGTCGGTGGCGTTGGGATGACGCGAATGTGCGGTCGGCGCGGTCGGCGGATGTGAAGGGCGAAACGTTCGCTGCTTCTGTTGCTTGGGATTCGATTTGGATATCGTTTAGTTTTAGGGATAAGTGGAATTTGTTGGCTTATGGAAAAGGGAAAATTTACTTGTTTGGGCACTGCTGAATTTTTTTCCTCACTGCTGAAATCATTTGCCTCGTTGAGTTCTGGCTTGGCTTGTGCACAAAAAGTCAGGGGATTATTTTCCCGCACCCATTCTAATCCTACCGCTCTTCTCATGCCACTAACCATAGCCGGCTGGCTCCGTCGACCTACTAGATAAATATGTGAACTTTAAATCCGTATTCGGGCCCTCTAGCAAATTGGTTTAGGCCTCGCGGCGGACAAGCGACCAGCCACTGTCAGAATTTTAAGACTCTCGACGTGACTGAGCGAGCGCGGTGGGAATTGGGCCGGCGCGGACGTGGGGGGACGGGTCGACGACGGGTCGACGAGGGTCGCCGCCGACGCCGATGACCGGCTGACCTGTTGCCCGGGTGAGGGGAGGAGGGGGCGGGATGGCCAGTGGGCGCCGCACTGTCCCCACACCCCCGGCAGCGTCCCACTACGTGCCGTCAGCCACATTACACAGTGTTGTTTTCTGTTCTGGAATAAGGGTCATCGCGCGAGACAGGGCGCAAGTGTTTGGAAAGAAAACAGATCCGGTCCGGAACATGGCTGGAATAAAGTCAACAAAGTCGTATGAAGTCGGCCGGGCGGGGCCGCGGGCGTGGCGGCTGCTGAATTTTACCGCGTATGTGGGCGGCCGGCTGGCGCAGAAAAGATGGATGCACAGTCAGCGGGCGGTGGCCGGCCGCCTCTAAAGAAGTGTACAACAAAAGTGTCCGGAACAACAGGGTTTCAATTGCAGCAGAAGACAAATAGTTACAGCTATTCTCGATTATGTAAAAGCACCAGTACTTGGCGTGTACGACCGTATCGATACTGGCAATCAGCGCCGAGGGGTCCAACTCACAGTGCACCTCGAGTTTGATCTTCTTGGAGACGCTGGGCGGCAGGCCGTTGCTGGCGATACAGAGGTAGTAGCCAGTATCGGAGCGTCGCACCTTGTCCAGCGGCAGCACCTCGCCCCGGTACTCTGTGGCTTCGTACGGTGGCTCGCGGGCTGTAAGTGTGTAACAGTGGTCAGATAGAACGTCTACTGTCATTGGGGCAGCTGCTACACAGCTGCTTCAGTTCGCTTGCACGCTGCTGACGCTTGTGACGCTGCCCAAAACGCTGCGTCATGGTCAATGAGTTTCATTAACCATGCCTAGACTGGCCTAGACATTAGACAGACGTGGCCTTGGATATTGATATGGACAGGCACGGACAGGAGCCTCTGGCTCCGCACAGACAGACCCTCCTCCGGTGACCCGGTCGCCCGTCGCTCACCTCCGTCCTGTCGAAGCACGCCTGGTCCCGTCGCTCACCTCCGTCCTGTCGGAGCACGCCTGGTCCCGTCGCTCACCTCCGTCCTGTCGGAGCACGCCGTCCACGTCTCTCCAGCCGCCGCCGTTCTGCCAGTCGCCGCCGCTCGGCTGCCGACGGGACACGGCGATCGGTCGACCGTCCTCCCGGCGCCAGGTGATGACCGGAGTCGGGTAGCCGCGCGCCTTACATCGCAGCTCGCCGCTGCCGCCCTCGGGGATCGTCAGGTCGCCCGACGACTGGTCGCTGATGATGTCCGGGGGTACCACCACCTCGAGCACGCCGTACTGGTGGGGAAATGCGAACGGTTAGGGTTCTGAGATGAATGTGGTACGATGTATTCGAGCGAAGATGACGAGTGTGGTGCTGTGGCTGGTGTGCAAGCGCATTGCAAGTTAGTTTTGTTGATCGAAATCGGGGTGACTGTGAGTCTGTGACAGTTGTAGAAAATTGGTTGGAATAGGACGTGCCGCATTTCTATACAGTCGATGTGTTTCCGCCTTCCACCGTTTCCAATGGCTTTCGTTTTTCAGAGGCCAGCATATTCTGTAACACCCAGAAGCTTCGATTTCATAGGTACGAAATTATATTCTGATCTTTACATGATGGATCGGAAAAAACGAGTTTAATTGCACTGAGGGTCGTGGATGACGTAGGTAGGTACTTTGATCTTTGTCGATGTTGGGTACCTTTCATACACAGTGTCAGGTTTCTTTCCATCCTATTTATGACGTTGAGAACGTCAGACTCATATCTGCTGTGATGGCTCGGTATGCGTGTCCATTAGGTCGTGTTTCACCGGCGCAGGGCGCTGTTAGCAGACAGGTCAATGTGGCTCTCGCAGTCACTTTTCCAGAGTCGCGGAGATTAGTATTCCGTCCATCCACATCCACTGCAGGAGCCGCTTAGATTTATGATATACGTCCGAATCACGCTTGGACGGCATACAAAGGCAGCAAACGTGACGTCCAACAGAAGACAGAGCGTGCCCGGGATCCTGCGCTCATCTCATGAATTAACGCGGACATGTTTCATAAATTAACTGTCTGTCTGTGCGGCGATGAACGATATGCATGAAGAAATTTCGTTAAGTAGCTAGTATGAACCCTTAAATTATTTATTCTTCTGGCATTTTTAATTTTATATCATTGGTTAGGTATTATGAAGAAAAGAATCAATTTTTGCCTGCCCTAATACAACCATTCGTACCCTTTGTTCATAGTCATTCAGATTTTTGTAAGCCTTAGACCACCCATAATGTGGGTGGTCTCATTCTGCACTCTGCAGTGTTCTGAACGCTCCGCTGTTACCGTGTACCACCACTCACCTGATTGCCGACTGCGCGCAGTTTATCGGTTTCTCACTTACTTGACTAACAATGGAGTCCGATTTATTTGTACGCTGCACCCACCTCACTTACCGATGTGCGCCTGGCCCGACTCACCAACTTCATTCACTCGTAAGCTGCTCTTCATACCACCGACCTGACTACCTTGGAGTCACAGTTCATGTTCCGTATCTCTCTCTTTATACGATTCATTGGTGATTGCTGATTATTCCCCACTCCACTCACCTAACTGAGACTCATTAGCTCATACCACTCTCACCTGACTCATCATGGGGTCGTAGTTGATCTGGCACATGTAGGTGCCCCGGTCCTCCTCCTGCACCTGGTTGATGTGCAGGTTCCACGTGGTCTGGTCCCGGTGAGACACCCGCACACGCGGGTTATGTGTGATGACGTGCGTGTGAATCGCCTGAATCGCCTTGGAATCCGCCTTCACCCACCCGACCTGCGGTCAGATAACAGAAAGTAATCAACATCGCAGTGTAAAACTGGTTACGGAGGATTAGCGGTAGGTGATGAATATGATGGTATTTGAAGTGTCTCTTTCCTGGGCTGTGTTGAAGACGCTTTGTCAAGGAATTAATGTCCGGTACTACCAGCTATACTATTCTGTGATTTTGTCATCGCTGCCATGGCCTGGTAGCGATGGCAAGTCCACAGAATATTACTGTTAAAATAAAACTCCCGACATGTCTATCGAGCTGTGCTACGACTTCCGACAGATCCGCACAAATCATCACTACTGGCCTCGGCGTGTCCACAGCACTGTCCCTCGACATGCCCAGAGAACCACTGGCAACTACACCAGCTACCGACAAGCGCACATCCGACCACCTAGACTAGACGGCCTCCCAATCAATGCATTATGCTGTTCAACATGAGTCTAGAACAATGCTCGATGACATTAATTAATTATTCACGGGCCGAGTTCATCAATCTTGGTCCATTATCAGGCGAGCGTCCCACTCTCGGCACCTGTGCCGTCGGCTCCAGAGCGCTTCTCTCTGGAGTGTGGAGCGTCGCGCCGGCCGGTCAGACGTGATAGATAGCTCAATCAACCATGTGCGGCCGCCGATGTGGTGAATATGGCCAGACCAGGCAAAGCGAGTGGGCTTCAATATAGTCCGACGGCGCCCAGATGTGACGGCTTACTGTGAGAGCTCTGACAGTTCAGCGCCGGGGGCGGGTGGGGGATTGATTGATTGAGAGAGTCGAGTGCTTGGATCCGGCATGTGGTAGGCATTATTGGTTCCTTGTTTTTATTTACTCACAGAACAGTGATAATTGAGTTTTCATTTGGCGCCGTCATTTGGCGTCAGCGGCTACTTACGCGATATCCTCCGAGGTGGCGGACCACGCAGGTGAAGGTGGCGTCTCGGCCGATGGGCACCGTGAGGTTCTTCAGTGACTCCACAAACATTGGCCGCACGGCGTGCACTGTGGACAAACAAACATCGGTCAGAGTCGGCCTCTTGATAAAACAACCCCATCGGTCGGAGTCGGGCTCTGAGTGCCCTACAAACGCGCTAGTCATGGCCATTGGCCAACCTCCGAGCGCAGGTGTTGGTTGGTGATTCGCTCACTAGATGTCAGCAGGTACGAGCGCCTGCTGGATGCTGTGCCGCAACACACTGGTCTGGCCTCAGAGCGGCCGTCGCTCGATTACTTTGCAGCAGCCGGCACACGACGGCGGTCACTACAGAGGAAAAATGATGTCCGGACGTTTACCTTTCACTTTGAGCCTGAATCTTGGCTTTTCCTGCAAATTTACACCTTTGTGATAATAACAAGTGAATCTCGATAGTAGATACAACAATCGCATATTGCATTCCAACATTATAAATCCTTTATTACGTGATAATACAAAGCATGTTAGTTGGACTTCGTTGAAATCTTGAACATAAGCTATGAAATAATTCATTATTGGTAAGCATCGGGAGGGTGAGATAGTGCTGCCGCTATCCGCTGTGTTAGAACGTCCGCCGTGGCGAGTCGGACGTGCCACGGCGCCCGGCTCCGCTAAGCATGTTGATTTTCCCCGGCATAGCCTGCTCTAGGGAGACGCAGAATTATTATTCCTGATCCGAGGTGTCTATTTACTTTGCACTTGTCGCCTCCGAAACAAAACCTCCCTTCGTTTTCTCCATACGAGCGGCGTTGCGGGGTTGCTTGCCAAGGAGCGAGACAATGATTGTGTGTGGAAGGAACAGGGACAGGATACTTCAGCATGGAGAGGAGCCGTTGGGCGTTGGCCTATAAAAGATTGGACACATAAGGGCCACAACTTTATAGATTAATTTAATGGTTGATTATTGGATGAATATGGACGACTGTTGGGCGCCGGTGCTGTCGGTCCCACGTCTCTGTTATTTAACGCTATCCCCGGCTTAGCGAGCTAATCAATATGATTTAAAGTGCCGCCGCCGGCTGTGCGTTCTGCACTGTGCCCTGCCGGCAGCCATTGGAATCCTGTGTTCGAATGATGGGTCGACAAACAAAGCTGGAGGGGAGGGCCAGGTCCGGGGGCGCTGGGAGAGGGAGAGAGGCGACACTGCGCTGTTTTCTCCTACTCTCTCCGTATTGATAGATGCACGGGGCCGAACAAGGTCAGAGAAAATGAGAGATGGAAACGAGAAACAAGGGAAGAGGGAGGGCACACGTATGCATATTAATGATTCTGAGTCAAGCAGTTAACTGAAGGAGACAAGTAACGAAGGGGAGGATTTGGAAATTAAAATAAAAGTTTACTTTTGAACTTGCAATGAAAGCTGAAAAGGAAACTGAGATGACACGTTAGATACTTCCCGTTCAATGACAAAGCCTGTCTATCGAACTGTCATCAGATTTTCATTGGCCGTGACGAAATCCGCCTGCTGTTCAAAACGAAACTGTCAATCTTCTCAGCTGGATCCTCTCCTCTGCGGCCCGTCTTGCCGCCGATCCATCTCTGTCGTCCCAGCGCCGTCTTCGTCTTCTCAGCGCCGTCTCGCCCGGTCAATTCGCCCACCACGTGTCAATAGCCGGCGCCGGCCACAATTACGGCGCTCCGCTGACGTTTGGGCGGCGGTGGCGGCGCGCCGGTGACAATGCGCGGCGTCTCGCGCCACTAATGGCGGGTAATGAGCGGTCGGCGGCGGCCGGCGGTGAACGGCGGCTGACGGAGCTGACACAGCGCCCCGACCGCTCCCCCGGGGCCGAGCGGCACCGTCCGTCGGACAGACACGCGCCCCAGCCGCCCAACGAGGCCACGCCGACACGGCCCGGTGGCGCTCGTTAGATGACCTCTGATCGACGGGTCGGATCGCAGTGTGGTGAGCTGACTGAGAGCGTGCCGTCAGGAGATGGGGTGTTTTGACCATAGAAGATAATGCAGCAGTTGCGTTGTCCATAACCCGTTCAGCAATGTTTGCGTTATTCACTCTATTCCTAAACATCAAGGTGACCATCGAAGATGCAGAAATGCCTTCCTTCTGGAATGTGCTTTGTCAGTACATAACAGCTACTCTGGGGAGTTGTGAAGGGTAGTGTCAACCAGCTTTATCTATCTCACCCGTGTTTTGTCTACCGGTCTCACCGTGTGGCGGCTGAGTCGCATCGGAGCAAAGTCGACCGTCTCTGCGGTTCCGCCCGCTCTCCGTCAGTGGCCGGTGAGCGTTCTCCGATGATGGGATGTTTGATTTCATTCCGCAGCGCGATCCCGTCGTTTGTCGGCCGGTTCGTCGTCGGACACAAGATTAAAGGCCGTAAATCAACAGCGGCTCGCCAATAATCGCCGCAGGCTCTCAGGCCATCAATAGCAATCCTGATGGAGCGACTAAATTCGTCAGCGTCCCAACAACCTGCCAGCTGATGTCGAACGGTGCTGATCGGCCGTGCGCCGCCGTTTATCTCAACATCGAGGCCAGAAACTGGCAATTAATTCGAACCAGCTTATTAATCCGTGTAAAAGGGACGAGGGAGTGTTATGCGTTGATTTGGACCGATAATTTGATGGTTATTTAGCTTCGCTTTACGTAATAAAACACATTTTTCTGAGTTTTGACGAGGTGAATTTTGAAGTAGACGTGTACCAGACTCTCTCATACATTTGACAAAGCTTTTCTGTCTTTCTATAAAAGAAATTCTCAATTAATCTTTCTCTTTCCTTTTTCATCATCACCCCCGTTCTAACGGCCGGATCTGTCAAGCCTGTTGCTATCAGAATCTGTCTGTCAGAATCGTCTCCATTCTGTCCAGTGTGACAGATCTGTCACAATTCACCCAGACTGTCACCAGCCCCCATCCGCCAGACCTGTCCTCCCGGTCCGTCAGGCCATCCTCCTCGTTCGTCAGACCCGTCCTCCCAGTCCGCCGGGCCATCCTCCCGGTCCGTCAGGTCATCCTCCCCGTCCGTCAGACCAGACCCGTCCTCCCCGTACGTCAGGCTATCCTCCCGGTCTAACAGGCACGTCCTCCGGAGTTCCGTTTGGCAGGCCGTCCTCCCCGTCCGTCAAGCCGTCCTCCCCGTCCGTCAGACCCGTCCTCCCGTACATACGTCAGGCCATCCTCCCAGTCTAACAGGCCCGTCCTCCCGAGTCCCGTGTGACGGGCCGTCCTCCCGAGTCCCGTGTGACGAGCCGTCCTCCCCGTCCGTCGGGCCGTCCACCCCCGTCTCCAGTCGAATGATCAGCACTCATCAGGCAGCCGACTGGAAAATCGCACCTTGCCGCGTGCCTGCGCGTTATTGGAGCCGGGGCAGCTGGCGGCGGGCGCCGGCGGCCGCGCTGTCCTAATCAGAGCGGAGCAGGGGGGGGGGCGGCGGCCCGCGCCGCAACGGAGCAGCGCCGAGCGCCGGGGGACCCGCGGGGGTCAGAGAGCACCGAAATGCGTAGCCGATAGGTTATGGTTTATAGTGGTAAAATGATAAGTCTCGAAGGGCAGGTCCTTGAAATTTGGCACAGACGTAGCTTGATGTTTATGATTGATAGGTCTGACACTGTGTTGACGGAACCTGTCTGCCCGACAGCACTCTGTGTATATGTGCGATCATACCACGCTGATATTTTTGTCCGGTCGGCGCCGCCCCCAGAGTTAGCCGCGTGGCCAGCCGGCCCCGCGCGATACCCCAGACGCCCGCCGACAAATTGACCTATCATAATCAGCCCAAAAGGGAGAGTATTGAATTATGGCCGGCTAACAAGGTAGATATTCATCCGCGCCAGACGTAAACCAGGCCTGCCCTCGCCCCGTCCGTGTGTGTGTTGGTAGTGGGGGCTGGGAGCCGGAGAGAGGGCAGAGGCCAGCCGGTGGTCAGCGGCCAAACAGCCGGCCGTAACTCAGCCCACCGCAGGTCAAAACAGAACACAAATTGAATTGTGGCTGGGCCAGTTTATCAAAAAATGCCATACGGTTTTTTAGATACTTGTAAAGAGCTAAAAATATTCATTATTCACTTTTCATGTAGGCATAAGGGTTGTATGTTCATCCGTCTGAAATGCAATATTTATTTTGTTGTGCTGAGATGGTAATGCTCTAATGAGACCACCCTCATCACATCAGGTGACGCTGATTGTCTGACGATCGTTGTCTAAGCATTTCATTCGCTTGTTGATATCACAGACACTGCACAAATGTGATAATGACCAGGCAATCTCTTATCAGTGTGACAGACCGGACGGCTATCCTTTGACGGCGCTGGACACAGTACTTTCTGACAGATACTGTCCGAGAGGTGCTGGCTCGCCTCGCTGGCCGCCTCTTTGTCTGGCTTTGGACTCGGCACCATGATATATCGAGGCGCGGATACGGGATCTGCATGAACTCCTCAGCTTACACGTAGCAGACGATTATAATCCGCGGGTGATAGATGAGGCGAATAAATTAGAACGACGCGTGGAGTGCAACAGTTCGTGCAGAACACGAAGAAGTTCTGCTGTCGAGGTATCTGTCATTAAACATAGGACTTCTTACTGCTCATTTAGCGTAAGAATAACGAATAGAAAATTAGAGGCTGCGAGAGTCAGGGAGTGAGATGAGAGTGGGAATCTGAGGGACGGAGGGCTCCCAATCCCGTCAGGTTTCCCTGAGCTGGTGCCCGCCCCGTCTCGAGCTCGGGCTGCCAATAACCGAGCCGGTCTCCAGGGACCGAGCGGCGCCACGAGACGGGGCCTGTCCTGTTCCCCTGTCCGGCGCGCCGAGACGGGGCCTATCCTGTTCCCCTGTCCGGCGCCACGAGACTGGGCCCGTCCTGTTCCCCTGTCCGGCGCCCCGAGATGAAGCCTGCTTCTCTCCCTCCGTCCGGCGCCCAGAGACGAAGCCCGTTCCTCTCCCTCTCCGGCGCCCCGAGATGGAGCCTGTCCCTTTCCTTGTCCTGTGCCCCGACGCGATGGGAGCCTGCCCCCCCCCCCCCCCCCGTCCCTCCTCTTGGGCGTCCCTTAGACCGTTACCTACGCTCGGCA